GTAGCACATCAGGCTTCCCTGTCCTTCACCATCTCCCAGAGCTTGCTCAAGCTCATGTCCATTGAGTCGGTGATGCCATCCAACCATCCCATCCTCTGTCCCCCACTTCTATCTGCCTTCAATCTTTTTTCCCAGCATCAGGGTCTTTTCTAATGAGGAGGCTATTCCCATCAGGTGGCCAAAGAATTGGAATTTCAGATGAGCATCAGTCCTTCTGATGAATATTCAGGATGGATTTCCTTTAGGATTGACTGGTTTGATCTCTTTCCAGTCCAAGGGACTCTCAGTAGTCTTTTCCGAAACCACAGTTCAGAAACATCAATTCTTCGGCATTCAGCCTTCTTTGTGGTCCAACTCTCACATCCATACATGACCACTGGAAAAACCATAGCTTTGGCCAGATGGACCTTTGTTGGCAAAGTAATGTCTCTGCTTTTTAATATGCTATCTAGGTTGGTCATAGCTTTTCTTCCAAGAAGCAAGTGTCGTTTAATTTCATGGCTGCAGTCACCATCTGCAGTGATTTGGGAGCCCAAGAAAATAAAGTCTCTCACTGTTTCCATTGTTTCCCCATCTATTTGCCATGAAGTGAAGTGACTGGATGATAGGATCTTTTTTTGAATGTTGGGTTTTAAACCAGCTTTTTCACTCTCCTCTTTCACTTTTATCAAGAGGCTCTTTAGTTCTTCTTTGCTTTCTGCCATAAGGGTGGTGTCCTCTGCATATCTGAGATTATTGATATTCCTCCCAGCAATCTTGATTCCAGTTTGTGCTTTGTCTAGTCCAGCATTTCGCATGATGTACTCTGCATATAAGTTAAATAAACAAGGTGACAATATACAGCCTTGATGCACTCCTTTCCCAATTTTGAACCAGTCCGTTGTTCCGTGTCTGGTTCTAACTGTTGCTTCTTGCCCTGCATACAGGTTTCTCAAGAGGCAGGTAAGGTGATCTGGTATTTCCATCTCTTGAAGAATTTTCCACAGTTTGTTGTAATCCACACAAAGGCTTTAGCATAGTCAATGAAGCAGAAGTAGATGCTTTTCTGGAATTCTCTTGCTTTAGATCACTTGTTTGCTTATCTTTGAAAGAATATGTTGTAGACTAGGTGATCTTTCTTATTCTTTTCTATTCTAAAACCCTAAACTTCTACCTAGGGAAAGTCAGACATATCTCCTATCCTATGAGTACTCCAACTTAGCTTTCCTTAATAGGAATTATCCTACTTCTCTGTCTGGGCATAATTTATCTTCATTTTCTCCTATCAGTGCAGGATAGGGAGGAAGAAAGACACCAAAACATATATTTTGCATTATAGAAAATTTTGCCAAATACTTCCAGACTTTTGTGTCTATGACATTAGTGTCCGAGAACTACATCTTTGTCATACATTAAATATTTGCAACATACTAAACAGAGGCTCTATGGGGCACGAGGAAGATGCAGAAATTGGAACATGAACATGTTTGAGCTAGTTCTGCCTTTATTTTCTAAGTCAACAAATAGAACCTGAAAACCTTCTAAATGTTAGATATACGGGATATATATGATTCAGCAGTAGTCTAGTGGAGAAGACATATCGCACACATAATTGTACAAAAATAATCAGTTATAGATATATTATCTGAAGATAAAGTTAGAAGTGTTAAGTGACTACACTTCTTCCTAGAAAGGGAGGTCTCAATTCAGATGACTGAATGGACAGTTGCAGGAGATGGTGACATAGGTAAGAGCTAAAATTTGAATGTTAAAGAGTTGAGACTGCAGACTGTCAAGAGCTCCTGGGGAAATTTTTCTAAAAAGAAGGGTAAGCATCATTACTTTGTTGGATTTGCAGTGACTGACATGGAAGAGAATAGGACAAATGGATCAGAGGAGGTTTGAACTTGGGGCCTGGAAATCAGTTAGGTGCCTCTTACAGGATTCTGGGTGAGAGATCTCCTAGTGAACTAAGGATTATAGCAGCATAGATAAAGAGATTAGGGGAGAGAGTCAGTAGAAAGGTATAAGTGGGGATGAAATGAGCTCCAAGACCATATGTGGAGACTGTGATGTTAGATGAGTCCCAGATTTCCAGCTCAGTAACTGGTGATGGACAGGGAGGCCTGGCATGCTGCTATTCGTGGGGTCGCAAAGAGTCGGACACGACTGAGTGACTGAACTGAACTGAAGTGAACTGAACTAGGATGGGAGTTTCAATACCTGAAATGGATATCAAAAGAGGAAAATCATGTCAGGGCTATGGGGACAATATTAGTGCTATTATGACTGAGGTACTACAGAACATCTGTGTGGAGCCACCCAGACAGAAGCTGAAAAGATGAAATCTGGAACAGAGAAGATGGGCATGACCAGTGGTTTTCAACTTGAGAAAAAGCAGTAATAAGTATTTTAAATAAATTTATATATGTCTTACTTACTTACTTAAATATATCACCCTATTTTTTTAACTTATAGACAGACCACATCATGAGAAAGGCCCAGCTGGATGAGTTACAAGCTAGAATCAAGATTGCCAAGAGAAATCTTGCCAACAGCCTCAGATATGCAGATGACACCACTCTAATGGTAGAAAGCAAAGAGTAACTGAAGAACCTGTTGATGAGGGTGAAGAAGGAGAGTGAAACTAAACATTAAAAAAAACTAAGATCATGGCATCCAGCCCCATCACTTCGTGGCAACTTGTTGCTCTTTTTCAGTCACTCAGTCATGTCCAACTCTTTGCGACCCCCATGGACTGCAGCCCCTCAGACTTCCATCCTTCACTGTCTCCCAGAGATTGTACAAATTCATGTCATTGAGTCAGTGATGCCATCCAACCATCTTGTCCTCTGTTGTCCCCTTCTCCTCCTGCCTTCAATCTTTCCTGGCATCAGGGTCTTTTCCAGTGAGTTGGCTCTTTGCATCAGGTGGCTGAAGTATTGGAGCTTCAGCTTCAGCATCAGCCCTTCCAGTGAATATTCAGCATAGATTTCCTTTGGGATTGACTGGTTTGATCTCCTTGCCGGCCAAGGAACTCTCAAGAGTCTTCTCCAACAACACAGTTCAGAAGGATCAATTCTTTGGCGTTCAGCCTTCTTTATGATCCAACTCTCACATCCATACATGACTACTGGAAAGACCATAGTGTTGACTATAGGGACCTTATATTTCATGGCAAATAGAAAGAGGAAAGGTGGAAGCAGTGACAGATTTCCTCTTCTTGGACTCTGAAATCACCGCAGATGGTGACAGCAGCCACGATACAAGAAGATGATTGCTTGACGGCAGGAAAGCTATGAGAAACCTAGACAGTATGTTAAAAAGGAAAGGCATCACTTTGCTGATCAAGGTCCATATAGTCAAGACTATGGTCTTTCCAGTAGTCACGTATGATTGTGAAAGGTAGACCATAAAGAAGGCAGAGCACCAGAGAACTGGTGCTTTTGAACTGTGGTGCTGGAGAAGACTCTTGAGAGTCCCTTGGACAGCAGGCAGATCAAACCAGACAATCTTAAAGGAAATCAGCCCTGAATACTCATTGGATGGACTGATGCTCAAGCTCCAATCTTTTGGTCACCTGATGTGAACAGCTGATTCATTGAGAAAGACCCTGATGTTGGAAAAGATTGAAGGCAGAAGAAGAAGGGGACAGAGAATGAGATGGTTGGTTGGTATCACCGATGTGACGGACATGAACTTGAGCAAACTCCCGGAGATGGTGAGGAACAGGGAGATCTGGCATGCTGCAATCCATGGGGTTGCAAAGAGTCAGACACGAGTAGGCGACTGAAGAACAACAACAACTGACAGGAACATATCCTCTGTTACAGAGAGCACAAAGTCTAAGCGGTGATAGCCCTTAATAAATATATTTTTAATATTCAATTAATCAGAGAATGAGCAAGTGAACAGGAGCTACTATGAGTAGCTACTAATTCCTATCCAGTTATTACAGTTTGTGTATTTGAGTGTATGAGGGAGGGCATGTGTGAGGGTATATGTGTTGATATATTTGTGTGTCTGGCTAGTTATACATAACCATATACACATTTATATTTATAATTTTATAAAAATTAGTAATCTAAACAGTATATTAGTACTACACATCTGTATTAGTCTGCTAGGGCCTCCATAACAAAATGTCACAGACTGTGTGGCTTAAACATAGAAATTATTTTGTCACAGTTATGGAGGCTAAAAATTCAAAGTACCCACAGAGTTAGTTTCTGGTGAGGCTTCTCTTCCTGACTTGTTTCTCACTAGGTGTTACAAGCCTGCCAAAGCAGACAGACTCCTGGCATCTCTTCCTCTTCTTATAAACACATTGATCCTAGATTAGGACCCTGTCTTCATGACTTTTATTAACCTTAATAATCTCCTGATAGACTGTGTCTCCAAGTACAGTCTCATTGGGCATTAGGCTTCAGCATGTGAATTTTAGGAGGCCACGTCTGTCCAGAACATCAGTACATTTGACATCCAGATTAATTTCTCAAAGGCTAGTTCCTGCAAACAAAAAGAGATTGTTCTGTGTTACATATAGAGGGAGGGATATACTTGGTCAGAGACTTTCCTTATTTACAAAATAAGTATAATTCTTTTCTACTAAACTTGATTATATTGAAATACAATTATATTGGAGAAGATTGTAAATCACTTGCAATTAAATCTTTAAACAGCTGGATGGGTTTAATCGCATGTCGCTGTTTGTTATTTTATGGAAACCAGACTGAAAAGGCCAGAAGAGGTTGACATCCCACAGGAGGTCATACCATGAAGGTGTAAACTTAAAGCGGAGATTGTAGAGACCTGGGCTGCCTTCTTGGCATGTGAGCTGTTGCAACGAAGTTAGCACTTATGGTTATATTTAATGTAGGAGCTAATCCCACTTCATTTTGCGCCTGCTTTGTTTTACCTCTTAGTACACTTGGCCTTCATTTAGCCTCGGCCTCTACGTTGGTGTTCCTGTAAAATCTCGGGGCTGGGAAGCCCTCGCCCCGGCGGCCAGGTGACAGGAGATGGGCTGGGAACCCGCGGAGCTTTCCAAGGGCGTGGAGCCTCTCGCATACCATTCCCTCCCACCGCCACCCCACTGCCGGGAGGCGGAGAGGGCTTCCAACTTCGCTCCAATCCGCGGCCGGTCCTCCCCGGGGTCCCCCTGCTGGGCGACCGGCCCGCCGCCGGCCGAGTTGGAGGAACTTCGCCGAGCTCCGCGTCAGCCCCGGAGAGGAGAGCGCTCGCTCCCCTCCCGGGCCAGCCCCCTCTGTGCGCCCCCGCCTCCCGGTCCTCGCCCAGCCGGGAGCGCCGGTGATAGGACGAGCCCCGGGCGTGCATTGTGTATATGCAAAGCAGAGCCCGGCTCCCCACGTCTGCCCACCCCGGGCCGGCGCTCCGCAGCGGCTGGCGCGGCCGTGGGCGCCCGAACCCCGCGCTGTCATGTCCCCGCCGCGCGGCCGGCCATCGCGTCCCCGAGTCGCTATATAAGCGCAGGCCAGGGGACACCCGGAGGGGCTGAAGATGAGGGTGCCCGCGCATGGGCCCCCGCTAACTGCCAACGCCTCCCGAGCCGGCGCGGCGCGCGGAGCCCGCGGCCGCCAAGGACCCGCCTCGGCCGCAGTAGCAGCTGGAGCTGCGACAGAGGCGGCGGCGGCGCCCGTCGCTCCAGCGCGTAGAGCCGCGGCCGCAGCCCCGGGGCCGCCGCTGCCCCGGCTGCCATGAGTTGTGCGGAGGTGATGTATCACCCCCAGCCGTATGGAGCGCCCCAGTATCTGCCCAACCCCGTGGCAGCTGCAACCTGCCCCACAGCCTGTTACCACCCGGCGCCCCAACCTGGCCAGCAGGTGAGTCACCGACCGGGCAGCCTGCCGGGGGCGGGGGCGAGGGGCACGGGGAGTATCGGTCTGGGGCTCCCGCGACGACGTCCCTCTGGGATGGGTGGCGCGGAGGATGCTCCGAGAGTTGCGGGAGCGCCCTGGAACAGAAAGCCATCGGAAGAGAAGAGCAGAGCAGTTTCGGGAAGGACGAGCAGCCAGGTGGACTGGTGGGGATTCCGAGTGAGACGTTACCTGACTGGGGGCTTCAGCGAGCTGTGGTCATAGCCACCCTAGCTCTTAGGGCTCAGTTCTTTGAAGCTCTCCAAGGGCACCTGTTTTAAGAATATGTGAGTAAACTTCCTTTAAACCAGATATTTTGTTTCCTTTGAAGAGGTGGAGTGTACTAGGGTTTTCTTGATTAAGAGAGTGAAATGTGTCACTGACATAGGGGAGGCTGTCCGGATAGTGAGCCCATGGAATGTCTCTTCTGGGACTTTTCTGATGGAACATGGGTCTAGTGTGATATTCGTCAGATGTTATTAGAAGTTCTCGTAAAGTCTGTCTTCTTCCATGCTGTGACTTAGGGGGCAAGGATTGATCCCCAAATCCCTCATCTATTTTTAATCCCATCAAAGCACAGAGGTGCTATGGTTCAGTCTATTGGACAGAACCCTTTCCTTTCCCAGCCAAGAAGTAACCTTGGATCACTGGATGCTGGATCTCCTCCATGCCAAGAGTGACTGAATGTTGTTAGATAAGAAGGGTTCAGGAACTAGGGAGATGATAGCGTTCCTTTAGAAGGGGGAATAGGGTCCTGGGGAATTTAGCATTCGGTATCCCTGGATGCTCCTTTCTGGATGCCAACAGAGTGTCAAGGCTTAGTCAGCCTACATAAAGCACATATGTGAGCACGTGGCCAGGGTGTACCAAAATGGGGTCCTCAGACTCTGGGAGTTAGGGTGGGTTGATTTGGTGAGACTTAAAAAAATGTGATTTATGTACTCTGAGGTGGAGATACCTATCAGGGATCTAGGTACGTTTCTAATAATAACATCCACAGTTTTTACTGATTTTTTAAAAAAATTTCTTAAAAACCCTGTGTTTTATTGTGGTCTTCAGGGTTTGGCTCTTTAATTAATCTGGTCATTTAATTTATTTCCTCTACTTCTGTCTCTTTACTAGATTTATTGTGCTACTCTTTGGAAAGAAATGATAACTTCTGTGTATAATTTAGGGAGTGAAATTCAGCTGATTCTGGAAGGGTACATGCTCTAGATTCATCTGCCGAACAGTGTGAGCTTAACCAGGACAACTAGGGCAAAAGAGGAAGGAGCCTTACTCTGTGGCTTCTTATTTATTTATTTTTTTAATATTCATCAGCTTCAGCACTTAAAAGCAAGATTACTTTTAGGGAGGGGAATGGGAAAGCTTTGTAATTTGTGGTCAAGGGTAATAGGTTAAAACATTTTGCTTAGGCTCTTTGTTTACATTCTTTGGTTTTAATATAAAAGATACAAGTAATGGAGAAAACCATTTAAATCCAAGTCAGGCAAGTGATGCAAAGAGACATTGGATATGTTTTGTGTGTTTCATGAACACTCTGTTCCAAATGAACCACCCTCTTCTTCTTTCCTTTCTTCCATCTCAGACACTGTAGAGGCCTTCAGTTATCAATTGTAACATAGATGAGCAATAAACTCAAACTTTACTAAGCATTCATAAAAGTATTTTTCCCCATCAAAAATAACTTTAGCAGACTACTTTTGAATGAGATTTTATTTTCTAGAATTGTGGAAATAGTTGCATTAAAATATGAATATCTAGTGGGGATTAGAATTGGAATAATTTTTTGAGCTAGAAAAATAAAGTTTGGTACCAGAAAAACTGTAAATAACTAATCATGAAATATAGTTTTTAATAAAAAATGACTCCAATGCCTTATCTAACTTTTGCAGTAGCCCCGGAACTCAGTTCCTAAATTGCATTCTTTTGCTAAGACCATCAACAAATCAAAAAATGAGCTTTCTTTTTCACTTGAAATGTCTACCTTGAGGAGTATCACATATTAGTAAATAGTAATTTCTGCTACCCTTTGGGCTTCTGTAGATATTGTTTAAGTAGGTGTTAGGCTGAGTTGAGCTTAAGAACTTAGTTGAGAAGTGTGCTTGAAGTTTTCATCTTGCTTTTACTACATTGGCTTGTTTGAGATTATTTTGTTTTGTGGGGTAAAGAAACTATTTGACTATAACTGGCTAGCAAAATAAAAGACAGTAGTGTAGCTACTGTTCTTTTACTGTCAAGAGTTTATTTTGATGACCTATATTTTCTGTTGGAAAAAAGATTAAATCTGGAAATTGTTATCAAGCTGACAACATTTTTAGACTATGTGGTGCGTGGGTGAAGTGGGACTAATATTGACTTGGCCTCAACGTAGTCATCTGAGAATACATATTTTGGTTGTTTTTGCATTCCATAAGGTTTTATCATTATTATCCATGAAGATTGTTTTCTCTGTACATGGGAAGTGACCCCTAGTAGCATCTTGCCTGAGAGACAAAAATAAGAGCTACAAGCCCTACTACATTTAAAAAACTGATTTGTTGAGGACAAGAAGCAGAAAAAGTGATAGAGTGACAAAATTTAATCATCATTTAGAAAATGTTAGAAAAGATAGCATTAAAGTTTTTCTGTCACTTCTGTATATTCAATTATTGTAGTGTATCTTTGAACTAATTTTTTTGTCCTCAAAGTCATATAGCTCTGAAGTCCTTGTAAATTATTATGTCATAATGGTTTATTACACTGGATTTTAAACTTAAGTATAGTTCCCTTTTAATGTGTGATTATATAGCAGAAAATTCATTTTGAAATAGTAGAACTTCATACTCCAGGCACATGTACTCTCAGCTTTTCCCCTAAAAGCTCAGTGTATATTTGAAATTTTAAGTTTTATTTTTTTTATTTGCACATACCGTACATTGTGGTGGGTAATAGGTTAGCACCTTATGTAAATATACCTGTAGAGTCAATTTTATAGTCCTTGACGTTACTTCCTAGAAACTGCATGGGCTGTGCATAAATTTTACAGTGTGGTTTCTAGAGCCAGGATTTGTTGAGGGCTGCTAAGCTCTCTGGTCCCCGTGCCCACCATTTCTTCCTAGCTCGAAAGCATCAGCCCCTACTATCTCCTCAGGAGAATTCCTCTATCTCCTCAGTCTCTCAGCACATGCTCCAAAGGCATGATGACACTGCAGAACATGTACAAAAAGGAATGTATTTGTATCCTAATAGTGAGAGTAGGAAAAAAGAAAAAAATATTCAAGATATGTGTTAGGAAAAACTGAGGGAAATAATGTGAAATCATAAATTCCCTTCATACTCTGTGGATTCCTCATCTTAAATGCGGGCAATCTGCGGTTGTCTAAAATCTCCCGCCCCCTCCCCCATACTTCCATAATGTTAACATTAGGGAGACACTTAAAGCAGAGCTTTCAGAAGTTCATAGACGAGGCAGTAAAAACAGAGAATAACCCTTGCTCACTAATTGTGCATAGGGGTTTTTAACAGTCACACTTTGGGCTTCATGTATGAGTATTTAATCTCCCCTCTTCCAGGGTGACAGCTGGGTGACTATACATGCATGCTTCCACTTAAGAGAATTAAAAGTCTTGGGAGACAGAACTCCAGTTATAAGTTTTTAAGGGATTTTTCAAGCTCTTTTTCTGGCTTCTGCCACCTTGGTTAGGTCATAAAATCTCTCCGAGATTCTGTTTGTTAGGGAAAAACCCCTGGAAAAACACACTTCAACCCCTCCTTTTCCATATAGAGAGATGCATGTTTATAGGGCTGAAATGCCTGAGTAAAGATTTCAAAGCTAATGGGTGACAAAATTAGGACCACCGTATCCCCTGCTCCCTAGTATAGCATCTTTCCACCATACCATGTGGTCCCCTAAGATTTTTTTTTTTTTTGCTATTGCACAATAGGCTTATTTTTGTCTTTAGTGCTCCAAATCAACTTTTTGATAAAGAAGATTAATATGCAGTAGATTCTTTGGCCTTGGGGCTTGAAATTCTTTCCAAGTCCTTGGTAGTGTACGTTTTTAGTTCAGGCATTCCAAAGTCCTTTGCAAGCATTTGTAATATGCTAATGACTTTTGCTATCCATGTTGCATCCTTTGTTGATGAAGCAGAATATCAGTTAGCAAATGAACATGTATTTGTTTGAAAATAATATTCAGGAAGTGGTATTAACAGTCAACTTTAAGTGCCTTATATATCATTGCTATTCTAACATAAGCTTAGATTCATAAGAGGAAAGCATACAATTACATTCTAAATAGTTTCAATACACAGGCCACTTATTTAAGTGGGAGGATCTAATTTTCTTACAAGTGTAAGCAAGGACTTAAGTGGATTTCTAAGAGTCCATACAGGACTTCTTTGAGAAAGAACAGCCTCTCTGATTCCATACTACACAAAATAACTTGACTGTAGAGACTGAGAAACTTCAAGTGCCTCAGAGCTTTATGCTCCCAATAACTTTCCAGCCAGAAAATTCAAAGCCAGAAGGAAAATTAAACTTTAAACTAACTAAACTGAACTGTTGTCTCTGGCAATCAACCAAAATGGAGATAACAATACCGATAGTACGGGCAGGCTGGAAATCCATAAAATCACATGCGGTAAGGCTTCATTCACCAGAAAACCAAATGCCAGGACAAGGAAGCATTCTGTGGAAATTTAAGTTGAGGATATTTTCTCTCCATGCATGGAAGTCCTTCTTTACCTAGTGCTTGGTAGAAGTTCGCATCTCAGGGGATGGAATGATCCTTCATGGTACCTGTTTGGGCAACTACAGCAGAGATGCTGTGCTGACCCAGTTGGGCAGATACGTACATTGCTGTCTTATATCTTTCTGTGCAAAGGGGATTTTCAGTAAGACGAAAAATATTATGCTCGGCTATTCTACAGAGTGAAGTCAGAAAGAGAAGAACAAATATTGTATATTAAAGCATATATATGGAA